CTGCTGCCTGTCCCCTCCTGCAGCAGGCTAGGGGACCGGAGGGGATGCCGACCAGGAGAGGCTGCACAGGGCACAGAGAGGGGCTCTGGGGGTGGTGGGCAGGTGGAGAGAGTGCCCAAAATAGGGGGGCAGGCATGAGGTGGGCAACAGCACAAGGCCAGCCCTGGGCCCAGCCGGGCCTGGGGAACAGGGGGCCGGGGAGAGGGGTGCCAGGGACCGGGGAATACCAGGGCCTGCTCCTGCCCCCCGCCCCGCCTCTGCCTGGAGGGAGGCCCCGGAGCTGAGCCCTGCACACCCTGGGCAGGTGACCAAGGCGCCGCCATGTGGCAGCTGCTGCTCCCGCTGGCCCTGTGGCTGGGCGCGGCAGGCTGGGGCCGGGCAGAGCTCACCGACCCCCAGCGCCGGGGCCTGCAGGTGGCCCTGGAGGAATTCCACAAGCACAACTCAGTGCAGTGGGCCTTCCGGGAGACCGGCGTGGACAAGGCCACGGACACAGTGAGTGGGGGCAGGAGCCCGGGGCCCCGAGCGGCAGCCTGCTCCCCGAGGGAGGGAGGCGGCCCCCGCCCGCCCGCCCAGCTGGCTGCCGGTGTCTGTGTGTCTGTGCCCGCCGCAGCCCTCCCCAGCGGGGACCTTCGTGAGGCTGGAGTTCCAGCTCCAGCAGACGAGCTGCCGCAGGAAGGACTGGAAGAAGGCCGAGTGCAAGCTGAAGCCCAATGGGGTGAGTGCATGTGGGGGTGCTCGCCTGCATGATGGGAACGTGTCCGGGGCTTGGTGTGAAGCCCCTGGGGAGCCTGAGCCGGAGCGGCTCCCAGGACGCTCTTCCCGGGCTGGGTTTTCCCACCCAAACTCCACCCTCCCCCTCAGGCTCCCAGGGGAAGAGGCCCGAGGAGGGGGCCCCTGGCCTGGTGCACGCCCCACATTCTGGGCCCCCAAGTGGAGGCAGCCAGCGGGCTGGTGCACATGGCGCTGGCCTTATGGGCCGGCTGGACAGGGTGCTGCCATGGCCCTGGCCAGCAGTGTGGATATAGGGCTGGACACCGTGGGGTCTCCCTCCATCTGCTGGAGGGGGGACACTAACAGGCTCCCCAAACTTGTGCTGCTGGAACCTTTGTGTTCAAACCCCATTTACAAGAAAAGTAAATATAATAGCACGTGGCTTGTCAGGTGGGGGGCCCTGGGGACAGGCCAGCCCCCCACCCCCACGTGCACACATGCTCACTGCTCGCCCCCATGTCCTGTCCCGGGGGCTGTCTGACGCCAAGAGGCCTGCTCCACCCTGGTCTCTGCACCTGGGCTAACGGGACGCCCCACTGCGGCTTGCACCCCCCC